TGTGTGTGTGTTGGGGGTGGCACTTGCACAGTTTTAGGCATCCACTGGGGTCTTGGAACTTAACATACTGAGTAATGATGGAGGCCACTGTGATTTCTCTCATTTTGTGGATTTTGTGGACATGGGAACTGAGGCCCAAACTGTAGACATCTCTTTTCCAAGTCTTCATATCTAGTTTGTGATGGAGCCAGGGCAAACAGAACTGATAACACCCCAACTTATGATGCATATTGTTAGCACTATTTTTTAAGTGCTCAGTCTAATCTTACTCTCAGCTCTTTCATAGAGGCATTTCCAGATTTTTATAACGTGTGGTTCTTATTATGGGTTAGCCAGGTGTAGCACTCTCTGAACTAATCCCACTCACCCTTTGACTTGGTTCCTCTGCAGTTTGTCACAGAAGGGAGGCCTGAGCCCGGGCATTGTTTGATCAAAGGCACAAAGAAGAAAATACTGCATTAACTCTGTTATACTGCAGGCAACCTGATCTGGTGCCTACAGCTTAATAAGCAACAGTCTCCTTTCTCCCCACCCCACCACCACCACCACCAGTCCCCCCACTTCCCTAACCCCAGAATGGCTTAATGTCGGTAAATAAGAGCAGTAAGGAGAGGGGCGCCCTTTGTCATCAGTGGTCTTTTGCATAGCTTGTTTATATATTACAAACCATAACATCCAACATGTCCCAGGAGTTTCCCCTTCTCGGGGTCATTCGGTTGGGAGGGCCTAACCACGGCGGCAAGGGACACATTTGTCACATTTGTCACAGGCATGTTCCCAGCTATGCTCGTTCTGGGTGGGGCAGAAAGAACTCCCTGAGATGCTTGGTAGAGAGGAGAACGCCTGACAGCTTCCCAAAAAGGCAAAGCCATTTCGTCAGAGTGACAGCGCTGAGCGCTCTTCCCGGAATCCAGTGCCCTCTTTGGCCTCAATTCTCTCAACTGTAAACTGAGGGGCTGGATCACATCTCTGAAGACTTTTCTTCGCCATTCTATATCTGACTCATGTGAAACCCTTAGAATATGTTGAATAACTTGTGTTCGTTTCCTCTGTCAAGATGCAACTCGTATTCCTTGCAAAACATTTAGAGCAAAGCCAGGGAAGAGTGAGCTGTGAAGGGTGCTGGTCCTCAGACTGGTGGTTTCAGATGTGATATGAGAAGGACAGAAACTGAGAGTAGGTGTTTAGTAACTTGAATAGAACCTGGTGTGGCCACGACACCCAAGTGGAATTCATTTTTCTTGTAATTCATTTTTACAGTGTTTTACCAAAGCCTCAGTCCCCAATGAAATGGGGGCAAAACATGTTTTGTTTCGTTTTGTTTTGTCAGTGAAAACATAGATTGGTAAGTGCTCATCTACAAACAATAAGGGAAACAATTTTAATCACTTTTAACCCTAAGCTTCAAACTGGGGGTTAGGAATTGAGGGAGATTTGCTTTTGTCTGTGTCTATTTAGTGATTTTATAGTTTTAATTACATGCATTTTGTAAAATAAAAATACTTTAAGAAGCAATGTGAAAATAAACAGAGATAAAAGTTACGTAATTCGGCAATTGTGCCGAAGTGGATAAAGCATCTCAGCCTCTGGATGACTGAAACCATGGGGAGAAAGTGGAAGCTGAAAACCAACTTTTTGCCAGTCACCAGCTGTGCTCTACTCCCCAGGACTATCTGGGCTTCGGTGTATGAGGTTCTGTCCTACGAAGGACATGGGTGCCCACCTGGCTGGCAGAGGCTTCCTGCCCTCTAACCACCTCTGTGAGGGTTCAGGCTTCCACCCAGGTGTCTGTGGCCACTTCCTCCTGCTGAGTCAGAGTAAATGTCCATGGCATTCTAGGGACTCAGAGAAGAACCGAGGAGCAGTTAGGAAGTGGCCTCCAGTATGATGTCTGTCAGTGGCATCTTCCACATTCCAGTGGAGGGCCAAGAGTGGCATTGCCTTAATAGCCATGGAAGGGGGAAAAATAGGGCTACTCTGCTGGAGGGTGCTTCTCATGACTGCTATATTCAAATATTAAGCTGGTGACTTGGAGGCAAATGGACACACACAAGCATTAGGTCATCTTTATACACATTATAGGGTGTGATAAAAATAAATAATGGGAATAGGAGGTTGAAAATGAGGGAGAAGAGCAAAGAAAGAGAAATTGCAAAAAGTCATCAAACAAAAAGAATATTAAATGTTTGGGAACAAACATATTATATAAATATGACATTTCCTGGGAGTTGAAGGTAGGTCAGCTTAAAACATGCATATACTTGAAATCCCCATCCCCACCCCTAACCTGAAAGACCACTTTAGTATCAAGGGATTGAAGTTTGCCAGTTCGGGTCAAGTGATGACTGCCCCAGACTTATCTATTTTAAATTCAGAAGGAGGCAGGAGATTCAGAGAGTCATACTCTCCCATTGTGGCTCAGAGAGTGAGTTCCTTTGCCAGCCCCTTTCAGGCTGTCCTCGACCTTCCTTCCCTAGGCTATCTCTCACAGTCATAGATGGAGCAGGCCTCATACCCCTTGGGAATATTAGGGAATCTCACAATTTCCCAAGGTTTTAGGAAAAGTAGGAAGTAGGCTGTCCTGTTCTAGAAATATCCAGGGTAGACAGACGGGTAAAGGTGTGAGCCCTCAGGACTCAACACCTGTGGAAGGGAGCTGGAGTCTAGTGCTCTTGGCTTGGTAAAGGGATCTAGGTAGGGGGGAACCACACCAGCTACAGCAGCCAAAACAATTGGAGATGGAGAATCAGTGGACTGATACATTATCTAAGGAGCAATTTAGATCACATACAAATCCTGTCGTAGTGTAGTATAGTGTAGTATAGTATACAAGGTCACTCTAGAAGGGACATGGACATCATTTAATTGAGCCCCTTCATCTTATAAAAGAAAGGAATTAGGTCAGTATAAACTCTTACTGGAAACCAGCTCTGATTCTCAGTCCTTTGCTTTTGCTTAAATTCAACCCAACTCATATTTATCAAATGCTACTATGTATAAGGCACACTTTTAGGCACTGGCTGGGGAATTGCAAGACACAAAACTCAGCCTCTGCCTTGGGACTTTATAGTTTGGTAGAAGGAAAGAATGGAAAAAAGAAACAAGAACAGCATGAAAATCAAAACTCAGATTGCACCCCAACGGCAGTGTGGGGTAGGTGCTGTGCACGCTCCAAGGCTAAAGTGGACACACAGAAGGGAGGCGTGTGCTTGTTTTGATGTGATGGGCGGCCTTCATTCCAAAATTCTCTATGTCAAAGTATGTAAAAAGAAAAATCCTGCTCGCTCTCCTATTTGGGTGAGGCTGACGAAGATAAGGATACAAGTAGGGTTCTGGGAAAGGGAGAAAAGAGCCAAATAAACAAACGAGAACAAGCCATCCCTTTGCAAAATGTCATTTTGCCTTGAAAGCTTCTTCAGTTCTTAGCCCAGGAGGGCAAATGAGCAAAAGTTGTCCTCATTAAACAGGATTATTTTGAAGCTACAGGTCAAAGGTCCTACTTCCTTGGGAGAAAAGTGTTGAATCCAGCGGACTCTCCCCTTTGAGCTCGGACATGTTTTAGTACTGGAGTGTTTTCTGTCCTTTAAATTGTCCTGCGCCTCCCTGACATGTGTATTAGTCCACCCACTTGAATTAGTGTGCTGTTTCAGTATTCAGCCAGAGTTTATGCGTTGCTACTTTGGACAGGATCTACAGTTCATTCATTCACTCACTCATTCATTCATTCGTTCACTCGCCAAAGCATTTGTGAAGAGCCTATCATATGGGAGGCCCTCTCATGGGTGCTGGGAATACAAGAATGGGAAAGGAACTCTGAATTTGCCCTCAAATGCTCACAGTCTAGTCTAGTTGGGTGAGACAGATGAGCAGGTGATTATATTAAAATACAGCATGTGTTAAACTCAAGTTCTGCCCAGGACATCTGATCAGGAATAGCTTGGCAGATATTCAAGGACGTTTCTGTAAAGAAATTGACCTTAGTTGAAACCTGAAGCCCTCTCGAGGGTTATATCATCTTCTATTACTGTCTTCATAGCGTGTCTCATTGAAGGAAAATCACTCTTTACAGTTTTGTTTGTTGATATTATTAAGCTCTCCCCTCTGTCATCTTACTAAAAGCATTTTGCAGACTTTTTCCCATCATTGCTATCCTAAGGAGCTTTTATAGATATTTTTTCTCAATCAGTAATTCCCATGAAAGTATACATAATATAAATGCACCATTTTTACCACTTTTAAGTGTACAGTTCTCTAGCATGCAACCCATTCCCAGGGTTGTGCAACCACCACCATTATCCATTTCTAGAACTTTCATCTCTTCCCCAGCTGAAACTCTGTAACTTGCTAAATACTAACTCTCCATCTCATCTTGGCAACCACCGTTCTAAGTTCTGTCTCTATGAATTAGTCTATTCTAAGTACCTCATGTAAGTGGAATCACACAATATTTATCTTTTTCTGCCTGGCTTCTTTCATTTACCTAATGTGTTCAGAGTTCATCCGTGGTGTAGCATGTATCAGAATTTCATTGCTTTCTAGGCTGAATATCACCATGAACTCTAACACCACATATGAAATCTGTATGTACTGTGCACCTTTGTAGGGGTGGAAACTGCTCTAATATTTAAGACTGTTTCCACCTCCCAAGAACCGGTTTTGCTCCATTGGGGCAACTCACCCCGTTGAGAATGCCTGTGTTAAAATGTAAGCTTGGTGGCCTTGCTGTTCTTTCTCTCCATCTGTCCCCAGCTGTTAGCCAAATACCCGGCACATAGCAAGCACTCAATAATCATTTGTGGAATACTTTTCAGGTTCCTTCCACAACCATTCCTCCCCTCTTGTTTTAACCCATGATTATTAAAATTGCACTGAGAGTAATGACAGATATATTGTGACACTCAGTGCCTCATGCTGTCCAGCCAGATCTCCCAACATGCTCGTGTCCCCAGGCTGCAGATACCCTTCTCAGCGGCCCTGTGTTTTATCTGCTCTCTTAACAGAAGTGAAAGACTATGAGCCTCCATTTGGTTCCAAGGTTCGGGAGCATCCCTGCGTTGAAAGTATGAAGGACAATGTGTTGAGAGATCGGGGACGACCAGAGATTCCCAGCTCCTGGCTCAACCACCAGGTAAGGGTGGTTGTGGTGAGGGGACAATCTGAGGTGACCTCTCAGGTACGAGAAAATTCTGGGCTCTTGGGCTTCAACCTCAGGGCAAGTTCCACTGTGTTCTGTGATCCAATTCGGTTTTGTTTATAAAGAAAATTTCAATAAAGTGGGGTGACCTCAACTGGCAGGTAGATAAAGCATTCAAAGGGGACTCACAATACTCATTTGAAGGACATTTATCACAGTGTCTCCAAGGCCCCTCAGTTCCAGTTAAAATATTTTGTTTGGGACCTCTGCCACTCACCCCCCAGATCTTTACATAAGGAGTTTATGTTTTGTTCCCTTCTGGGTTCCAAATATTTTTTTTTGCTGTAGAAGGAAATACTTAGCAGAGAGAAATCGGCAGAGTGTGTCAGCCAGCTGGGCTGAGAGGCGACTGCAGTGCGCCCAGGGCCATGTGCACACTGCACAAGGAGCTGAGAAACAGGAGGCCAGCTCCTCAGTCTGGAATGAAAGAAAGTAAAGAGGGACATGCAAATGGAAAAACAGAAAATCTGTCTGTTGGGAACATCCTAATAGCTTCTTTTTTCTTCTCAAGAAATGGTAGGTAAGGCCATCCATAGCAGGGCCGTCCTTCTGGACTTACAAGGAGACCTATCCAAATTCCTGTCTGGAGACATTCGGGTGAGGGCAGGGGGCAGAGAAAAATTGAAAAGTGATAGGTTGAGAGAACAGGGGACTGTCTCACACACCCAGGAAAGAGCCATGGAGGAACAGCGTTCCCTGTGTCACAGACAGAGCCACCCTTTCACTGTGGAAAACCTTCCCTTGCTTCCTTTGGATGAATCCAGTATCCAGTGCAGGCTGGGGCTAAGTCGTAGGTTTTCCTAGGGGCAAGGCCAATTCAGATAAAAAAGAGAAACAAGAAATCAGGCCCGAGGGAAGGCAGAGGGAGGAGGGAGCAGGAAGCCTGGCCTGCAGCCACTTCCAAGGACAGAACCTAATAAAGTCTGGAGAGCAACCGGCCATGGTAGCCCAGGGCTTAGCCCCGGGGGTTTTGCGCCAGGCCTCTTTGACTCTTGAAGTTGCAGGACTGTTTTGCCTTAACTCTGAAGTCAGAAGGCTTGAGTGTTCCTTTCAAACTCCGTTTCCTCCTAAACTGTACAGTCCTTATAATGAAGCCATTATTCATGATGATAAAATTCTGGAAAGAATTTGCATAATACATTTTTTCTCTTAATGAGATTTGTTGCCCTATTGATTTCAAGTTAATGCTTAATATTTAATTTAATTTACTGCCTGTAATTACAGTGTCAGAATAAAATAAATGTTACTTGTGTACCAACAATAACACTCCACTCTTAACAGGGCCATCAATCAATACCGTCAATTAGGTGAATTATACAATTAATTCAACATCATGAACGTGATCCCTGGCAGGGCAGGCAGGGAGGGAGAGGCACGGAGGTGTGTTAAGAAAGTTAACAAGTGTGGGGAAAGTGCTGGTGCTCGGGGCAGCTTTGGGGTTGACCCATCCCAGTCTCATCAGGCCCACCTGAGAGAGGGGTCACCACAGGAAACAGTGTTGAGCCTCTAATTGTTAGGAGCACATGCTGGTTCTGCCTACAGGCTGTCTGTTTAACCCCTGCTTGCTTGCTTTCCCAAAGGACTTGAAATGATAGCAAAAACATTTGCAATGCAAAACAAAAATTAAATCCCTGAAAGAAGACCTTTGACAGGGTGCTGGCAGCCTTTCCTGGACGGACCTTTTGAATGGGGCCATTATGGGGTTAGGTTGAATCCTCTGAAAAGGCCTGGAGTCGGGCAGGTCTGGCCCACAGAGACAGCTGTTTCACAGGGTGCAGACTCATGCTGGCGAGGAGCGAGCCGGGCAGAACCGAGAGCATCCTGGGCCATTGCTACTAAATCACTCCACAAAATGTGTGGACTTTACATGCCTGGCCTTCCTTCTGACTGGGGCATTTAGTCCTGTTAAAATATTAATGTGTATATGATTCCAGCTATAAGACATTCTGGAAAAGGCGAAACCACGGAGACAGTAAAAAGATCAGTGGTTGCCAAGGCCTCGGGGGAGAGGGGAGGGGAGAGGAAGGAGGTTGAGCAGATGGAAGACAGGGGATTTGTAGGGCAGTGAACTTCTTCTGTGGGATCCTATAGTAGCGGACTCATGTCATTATACATGTGTCAAAGCCACAGCACGTACCCTAATGTAAACTATGGATTTTGGTTGATGTGTCAACGTTGGTTCATTGGTTTTAACAAATGTACACACAGATGCAAGATGTTGATGTGAGGGAGGCCCAGGCGGGGGGGAGGGGGGATAGCAAGGGGCATGTGGAAACACTCTGTACTTTCCACTCAGCTCTGCTGTGAACCTAAAACTGCCCCAAACAGTAAAGGCTAAAACTGCTCTAAAGAAAGTAGAAAGGTATGAAATGGTGCCGGGGCACTTCCTGGGAGTTTTCAGGGGATGCTGCTGGACCCCAGAAGCCTCCCAGAGGGGCCCTGTGCTGTCTCCGTTTCATGACTTACTGTGATCAAAAGGCACCAGAGTGGATAGGTGCAGCAGGTTGCCAGGGCGGTGCACAGCCACCTGCTCGGTCCCCTTGGTCCACAGGACACTGGCCGGCCTCACCCAGTGGCGCTCAGTCGGAGGGGTTCAATGCATAGGCTCTTTGGCACCCAGCCTGCGGCAGGCTCCAGGGCAGCAGCCGCCTTGCCCTGGCCGTGGAGCCCAGCGAGGCGCCCATTCACCTTGCCTGTGCACTCCCCTTCCCCTGCAGGGCATCCAGATGGTGTGTGAGACCCTGACCGAGTGCTGGGACCACGACCCGGAGGCCCGGCTCACAGCGCAGTGCGTGGCCGAGCGCTTCAGCGAGCTGGAGCACCTGGACAGACTCTCGGGGAGGAGCTGCTCCGAGGAGAAGATTCCCGAAGATGGCTCGCTGGGCACTACCAAATAGCTCTTCCAGGGCAGGCTGGGCCAAGCCCAGAAAGGCCGCCCCTGTCGCCAAAGCACAGAGGCAGCGGGAAGCTGCCCCTAAACCGCCGGATGCTTCCTGGAAAGCCAGGGCTCGCTGCCCTCGCTGGAGGCTTGGGAGGGAGCAGCAGCTGGCAGGGCGTGGGTGACATGAAGCATTCGATGCCTTTGACGTCGTCATAGGATAAGCTGTGTTAGCAGTTCCTCAGGAAATGAGATTGATTTTTACAATAGCTAATAACATTTGCACTTTATTAATGCCTGTATATAAATATGGAATAGCTATGTTTTATATATATCTATATTTGTCTATATCTATATATATACAGCCATACTCTGGAAAGAGACAGAGATCAAATATTCCCAGGAAATTGGTTTGGTTGGAGAGCTCCAGAGCCGAGCGCAGAAGGGATCCATGATGAAATTAGCACTTGACAATCAAACGTGGGATAGGAGGTTCTCTGGCTGTACCCGCGGGGTGGGGGAGGGCTCCATGTCCCAGAATCTGCTATGGCCACGTGGCACTTGCTTTTGCAAAACCATTCCCCGCATGCTGGTCCTCATCTGTCCATGGAGCTACTAATAGTCACACTGTTTGGGGACCAGGTCCAGGGGTTCCTGTGTGCCATTGCTTCTCCTGGACTGTTCACTTGAGCTTCAAGCCCCGCATCTGGCTTGTGAACCACCTTCCTCAACTCGCTCAGAAACTTGGCCCCATCTCTAATAGTTCAAACATTTCGAGCCCCATTTTTGCCTTCACAGGTTGCAGAAAAATCAGGACATATTTTCTTATCCATGAAATTGCCATACCTTCTACTAATAAGATATATAAATATATATATTTTTATCTCCCCCCTATACTTACGTTATTGTTTACTCCCAGCCCTTACCCCTTTCCTAAAAAGGATCCAGTCTCCCCAGGGTTTGAGTCTCCAGCTTTCTAAGCAACACCTGTGGGTTCCATCTCCTGGCTCCTGAATGCTCAATGTACTTTGGCCTAGTGGAAAGGATTGGAGCTGCACAGTAGTGCCCCAGTCAGGACCGCTACCTCGGCCACTCTGCACGTGCTTTGCTTGGCCAGCACTGCATTTCACGAAATTGAGCCACTTTTCAAATATTTGGAGATTTTACACACATACAAAAAATCTAGATCCTCAAGTGTGAATGGATAGCAGATGGTTTCCGGTTCTCTCCGACCCACATCATTCATAAAATGAAGGCATGGACACTCTTACAAAGCTGCTTCACTTCTTGATGTAAACACTTGTGTTTTCTGCCCAGCCCCACCTCAGTCTGGGAATTAAACCTGCCCCGAACCAAGGTCCCCTGTGTGCATTCAAGCAGTCATTCCCTGGCTGTAAAATACAACTTTCATTCCCTCCCTCTCCCCAATCTGGTGTTAAGATTTGAATTTGCGCCCCCCTTTTTATTTTTATTTTTTTGGCTAAAGGGGACCACCTCTAAGAGGTCCCAGTTAACCCAGGTCTCTTTTGTCTATGTTTTAAGAGCTTTCCCCTCTGTAGCAGGGAGGGGAGCCCTTTCCTCCAAGAAGCTTTCTTCATGATCACCATTCTCTCCATCACACCAGCCTTCCAACCCTTGCAGGATTTCCTAGCAAGGATTTGAGTGTGGGACCCAGGAGTCCCATTTGCAGTTAGGAAATCCACACGGACAAGAACAAGAATGAGCTCTAATACTCCATAGGAAACTTGTTCATCTACAATAAGTGTTAATGCTGCAAATAACCTTGCTCGCTTTTAAATGTTTTTGAAGCTACTTATTTTCAGCCAAATAGGAATATTAGGGGCCAGCAGTGAGCAGATCAGCTCCATTTGGATTCGGGGAGATCTCATCTCATTGGGGTTTTCGCAGACATGCTGAAGTCTGGGAGCAGGTGGAACTTCTAGGCACCCTGCCCCGTGGGGCGGGCTGAGCGTTCAGGACAGGCTGGCGGCAGCAGTGGAGGAAGTGCCCAGACATTCCCTGCACTTTAAGGCGTGTTGACACCGTCCCAATAGCTGTTGCTCATTGACCTCTAGTGGTGAATTTTTAGAATACTGGTTCATTAATGATTCAAAAGAGTTTTGTCACTTCTGGGTCATCGTCAGCATAAACTGGAATGTAGAATCAGATGATACTGTGGCTTGTTTTATGTATTTTTTTCTTATTCAAGAAGACGACCAAGGAGTAACCTTCTGTAGTTCCTAAAAATACTGACTTACTTTTTTTTTTTTTACTACTATACATAAAGGGAAAGTTCTATTCTTTTATGGAACACTTCAGCCGTACTCATGTATTAAAATAGGAATGTGAATGCTATATACTCTTTTTATAAAATCAAACGTCTCAAGCACTTATTTTCATACTGTGCATCGTTCGTCTTTTATATAAATAAAATGTTTATTAGATCCAATAAAGCAAAAATACTCAGGTCAGCTTCTGGTCTCCTGTTCCTGTTCATAGTAGCCAAGCCCCCGAGCCTCACTTGGTTAACTTTTGCAGTTTAAGTAGGAAAATATCACAAGACCTAATCCTCTCCAACTTTTCCACTCTCGTTGTCGTCTTCAACTGAGTCTCAGGTCCCCTTTTTAAAAAAAGCATTCATAGAAGCTCAATACTATGAGATGGAGCAGATGCTGTGGGTGACCTGCCCCTTTTCCCAGGAGCCTGGCAGGGTCCCTCTGCATCTCCTGGCTGTCATCTTAGTCCGTTCCCCTCTCCCCACCGTCCAGGGAGCTGCCTCCACCCACGTGACTGCTTCTCTCAGGGCTTGGCATAGCCAGGGTTGCTGCAAGGAGCACGTGCCTCTTCTGTTTTCTCCGCTCCTCATACTAGCACCTGGCGGTTGGCTGTCTTTTTGACTCCTGCCAGGTGCCTTCTCCGTCTGCCTTCCTTTCTGCCCAGCCACAGCATCCCACCTGAGGCTCCTAATCGGCTGCTCTGCATCACCAGGCAAGAGTGCCTTGGGCAGTTGGCGCCAGGTCATCGCTTACAGGCTTCCTGGTGACAAAGCTTATGTGGTTTCTCTGCCCCAACCTGAAGCTTCCTGTTTTGGAATCAGGGATACTGTGGCTTCTGAGTTATCAGCTGGGTTCTAAATAATTACAAATCTGAGTAGTTAGGATGGTAGTGCCCATGTCAGGGTTTCTAAACCTCAGCACTACTGACATTTTGTTATATGATTGTTTGGGGAGGGGCCTGTCCCCTGCCCTATGGGTTGTATAACAGCATCCCTGACCTCTGCCCACTAGACACCAGTAGCACCCAACCCACAGCTATGACAACCAAAAACGTCACCAAATATTGTCAAATGTCGTCTGGGGGGACAGAAGTTGCTCTTAGTTGAAAACCACTGAGGTAGATGATGCCATCCTGTACTACTGTGGACATTAGTTATAGACATATCTCAACTAATAGGTTGGCAATTTTAGTGGTTACTAATTTTAGTAGTTACCTGCTCCCCCATTTGCCAGCTATGTGACCTAGGCAGATTACATAACCCCTCCGTGCCTCAGTTTCAAATGGGATTTTAAGGGCCTCCACCTCTACGGGATACTGTTGTGACAAGAAATACATGCAAGGCCCTTGGACTTGTGTCTTGACCTTGGAAAGCCTCCATATGGCCCATGTTAAGTTGGGTTAGTATGCTAAGGGCTGCTCTCCCAAAGAGGCAGACTTCAAGGTAAACCCTAGAGAGCATTAACAGCCAGAGGAGAGTTGGCCACATACTACAGGCCTGCAGGGCAGGAAGGCTTCTGTCCTGAGTGAGGATGGGTCATCTGAAGGGAACTCTCCCTCCCTGCATACCTGCTTGCCAGGTTCTACCCTCTCTGGCTCCCTGAGCTGGACCGCACGCCCATTTCACAGATGAGAAGTCACACCCAGAAGCCTGGAGTAAGAAGCCTCTGGTCTCACAGAGGTAGAATCTGGGTGCAAAGCCAAGTTGTCTGGAAACGGGAATTTGGAATAACAACTTGGAAAGATGTTTGGTTCTCTCCCTCTGATGCTGGCTCCTGAGGGAACTGGCCTGCCCAGCAAGATGTGAGCTCACCTCCCTCCCCCTTGGTGAAATGCCCACCACTCATCTCCAGGGCTCTCCTGCTCCTCTCTCCCCTGTCTGTTTGCTCAGCGAGGGCAGGGAAGGTGATTTTCCTTTTCTACTGCCCAGCGCGCTCTCCATTCATCTGGTAAGTGTTGTCTAAACTCTTGATGAGAGAGCCACTGAGAGATGAATGGCTGTGTGGACAGTGTCGCTTAATGTGTGAAACGTGCGCCGGTATTTCAGATGATTTCAGGCTGTGCCAACCTTTGAAAACATGATTTCAGTGGGTCTGATTTCATTTTAATGTGTATTAGAAAAAACAAACACATTAAGCCTGGGCCTTCACAAATACTATTACCTGAAATATAGTAGAGTTTAAAAACTCGAATTGATTTTTTAAATGCATTAAGCGCATAACGGTATTTATTCTTGGCAACTACGGGGGATGTGAATATGAATGATTGAAGTTAGCTCCACGCAAGGAAGCAAATTCATGTTAATTGCTAACATATATCGAGCACTCTGCAAGTGCCAAACACCCTTCTCTGTTTTATTTTTTCCATCTGCTTTAATCTTCACCGCTTAGGAGGTAGTGTTACCTCCGTGTTAGAGATGAGGAAACTGAGGCAGATAGTGAGGACTTGCTCACAGCCCCACAGAGAACAATCTTCAGGCCAGGATTCGAATTGAAGCTGTCAGACAGCAGAGCCCACACTCCTGCTGGAACAGGAGATGAAGCTGCAGTTAGAACAAGGTGGAGCCTCTGGAAGGCTCAAGGGTCTGGGGGTCTGATTGATTAGCCTACAAAACAAAGGAGGAAGACGCAGTTGGCCCTGGAGGGGAGGGGTTGGCCATCAGGGAGCCCAGGGAAAGTCATTCCTCAAAGGCACATGGACTCTGGGCTCCAGCCCAAGAACTTCAGCCAAAACAGGAGCCAAGGTCGTCTGACCCCCTGCGGGCTCCATTTTGCCAGGGTTATTTCAGTTCTCGCTGCTGCAAGGTCAGGGGCATTCCCAGTTGGCAGTGAGTCTCCAAGTGCCCTCTACTGGGACGCAGTCCCTTGCACCAGTCAGCAGTTTTTGAATGCAGGCTCTTTGTGTCTGGGAGTTTCTAGTTGGAGGTGGTGGTTTTTGTTTGAAGTTCTCTATGCAAATGACATGCTAATGTGCAGCCCTGAGGGCAATGCCTTCCAGAGGTGACTGACAGAAAACCTTTCATTTAACTGAACGCATCCATCCCCTTTCACAAAAGTCACTGCAGTTGGCATCTGCTCATTTTGTTCATTTTCTTCCTGAGATAGGCTGCCTAATCGTTGCTTATCACATTTCCAATTAGTTTCACTGTTTTTTTTTTAAATTTTACTTGAATAATTATAGCTCCAGACTATGGGTTTGGGGACATGGCTTTCAGGCCTACTTTGCAAACTGTGCTGATATAGAAAAGATTGTGAACGTTCCTACATTACATGGCCTGCCAATCAGCCCCACACAGTGTAATTTAATGCTAATACACCTCCTGATCTTTGGTGCATTTAAAAATAGCTTGTTAATAGTCTTCCTCTTCTAATTAAGCTAAAATTGCATACATCATGAAATGCTCTCTGCGTGAGCACATGTGCACTAGCACGTGCGCGTGCGCTTGATCATTAAAAATTACTTCTGCATGCAGCTTGTGCAGCACAGTGCTTCTGAAATTGTCCTCAAAGCCTTCTCTTCATCCAGNTGCATGCAGCCTGTGCAGCACAGTGCTTCTGAAATTGTCCTCAAAGCCTTCTCTCCGTCCAGGCCCGAGATAGTAGACAACAGAACCACCACAGCCCAGTGTTCTGGGGCCATTAAAAAAGTAAAATGCCTTTGAAATTCTTGTTTGTCTAAATCAGAGGTGGGGAACCTTTTTTCTACCAAGGGCCATCTGGATATTTATAGCATCATTCTAGGGCCATACAAAATTATCAACTTAAAAATTAGCTATGAAAAAAACTAGATTTATTGAATTTCGAGTCCTGCCTGCAGTTGCCTTGGCAGGGCCAGACCAAACAATTTCACAGGCCATATACAACCCACGGGCTGGATGTTCCCCCACCCCTGGTCTAAATAGTCATATCAAAATTGTTAAAATTGGGACCTCTAGAGCTAGACCCCCTTGATTCAAATCCCATCTCTGCCACTGACTCGCCATAGGACTTTGTATTTTGGTTTCTCAATGTGTAAAATGGAGGTAATGACAGGAGGGACCTGGGAGAGTAGTAAGAATTAAATTAAGAATAGAGTTACCAGAGAAAGACAAATATCATATGATTTCATTTATATGTGGAATCTAAAAACTCTTTCCCCACCCACTGTATCCGCCTTTGGTGCCATCCTGTGTTTAGCAGCCCCTGACACAATGTAGGGAGCAATTCATGCTACTAAAACAATATTATGGAAGTTCACATCTGTGCCAAACTGAGAAATAAACTATGACTGTGAATATATATATATATATATATCCTCTTGTTCCAAAGGCCATCTCATTCCCCTGGAACACAGGAATGCCCTGGATGAGAAGGGGAGGCTAGGTTCTAGTTTAAGTCCTATTACTAAGTCCCTTTGCTTCATGGCTGTGGGTAATCTAGTTATTAGTGATGCATAACAAATTACTATAAAACTTAGTGGCTTAAAGCAACCAATTTACTCAGCTCAAATTTTGTGGGTCAGGAATTTAGGAAAAGCTTGAGCTGCACAATTCTCACTGTGGTCTTTTCTGCCATTGAACTCAGATGACACCTGGGTTTAGAATCACCTGATGGCTCAGCTGGGCTGGACGTCCAGGATGCCTCACTCTGGCAGTCAATGGTGGTTGTCAGCTGGGAACTCAGATGGGACTATTGTCTAGAACACCTGCACGTGGCCTTCCAGCTGGCAGTGTCAGGGCAATGGCGATCTCACACAGAAGCTGGCTTCCTCTAAGGTGAGAGTACCAAGAGGACCACGGAGACACTGCATGACATTTATTACCTAGTTTTGAAAGTCATGTAACATCACTTCTCCCATACTCTATTGAACTGAGCAGCTGAAAGTCACTCACATTCCAAGCAAAGAGGACATGGTCTCCCACCTCTCAGTGGGAGGAGTGACAGTTTTGTGATAATACTTTAAAGCCACCACAAATACTTTACAGTACATGGGTCTCTGTCTCTCATCTGTAAAATTGGACAACATTATCCCTAAGACTCCTTTAGTAGACTTAAGTCTATGAAATACTTTCCTTTAACTATTGTAATTTAGTCACATCAGTGTTGATATGACATTTNAATTATTGTAATTTAGTCACATCAATGTTGATATGACATTTCCTTTATTTCATATTATAAAATTACTATCTTACATAAAATTCAAAAAACAAATAGAAAAA